TCAGCAAAGGCGAAAGTACGCACTTTCATATCATCTATCACTCCACAACATACTACTTACTGACTAATGACACGAGAGTGCACTTCCTAAAAACGTAACGAACTTCCTGCAGTTCGCCGAACGAGCTGGTTCTTGACGAAGTCTCGGCTTGGATGCGGAAGGTGTGTTTGGCATCTGGCAACTTGCGTCACGTGTGAGATGTCCGACTGTTTATCAAAGGACGAGTATACTGCGTTGCAGCTCTTTCTGTTCATTAGTACGCCTGTGAGACATAGTCGTTAAAAATAGAAGAAATGAAGTAGTTACAGATGTTTGATCATAGGTGTCTTCGTAGCATTCCTCGCGTTTGGTGGAGTCACCATGTGAGCAGTATTGAAGACAGACGAAGGGTATTAGGCAAGACAGTCAAGTTGATTGGTAAGGTTGTGAAGCTTTATCGACTAAAATGGTCAAAACATGTGTTACGCAGGTCTAGTCATCCTCTACCCTGTCATGCAATGTTAGGAGCAATCACACTAAAACAAGGCATCACTGCATGAAATCTTTGACTGTTGGTCTGAGCCATGTAGGGCAACGTAGACTTCTCGGTTCGGGTCCATGTGACGATGGAAATCAGTAGTTGGTAGCTCTAGGTGATATACGTCAAAATCAATCTCAGTGGCACAATTGTATTCACACATTAACCTCATCTTAACTGTCATACTGAATTCAGTATTTTACTTTTCCTCCTTGTCTTCTTACCACAATTCTCTACGACTTTTGACTACTTCCTCCACCTTTTTCTTCATCTCCCATCTTAGTGTTGTCTCGCTTGATGTGCTGATACGAGATGTGGCAACTTGGGACGTCACGCAGTAATGCCTGGTCCCATTTTAATTATGATACCCTTCCCCACATAAAAGAGCTCCAGTAAGGGTTAAAGACTACTCATCACATACGCCCTTGTGAAAAAACCAACCAAATTTGTCGAAACACCAATGTTGGTACTGATATCTCAATTTGTTAGGAAAATCAATATGAAAAGCCACACACACAAGACATTACTGCCACATTCAAGCCACTGCATCACCAGAATAAGACCCTGTAGCTGGTGTCTCTTGGCCTGAGTATAACATGCTAACGATAGTGACCAGCTTACAAATTAACGAGTTGAGTGGTTTGCTTTAACTAATGAACCACCATTTACTCTTCTGCTACAAATTAAAGCACATCATTTTCTGTGGAAAGTTGAAATACATCAACCCAGTGATCTGGTAATCTTTAGTATGCCTCAGCAAATTAACACCAACAATAAAATTGTGTATCAAACATCAAAAATCGAAGATTACCTAGTGTCTAGACACACAAACTACACTGGAACTTTTTGATCCATCAAACGAGACAATTGGCTTGAACTTCAAGTAAGAGACAGTGCAAACATGAAAAGATTCAATTGACCGGAACATACCGACTCTGCAAAGCCTCAAATTTGAGGCTTTAAATGTTGATAAAGTGTCTTGATACCATTCAATTCACAGCAGAAACCGAAAACGCTCGAAAACAATCTTGCTACTACGATCAGCAAAGGCGAAAGTACGCACTTTCATATCATCTATCACTCCACAACATACTACTTACTGACTAATGACACGAGAGTGCACTTCCTAAAAACGTAACGAACTTCCTGCAGTTCGCCGAACGAGCTGGTTCTTGACGAAGTCTCGGCTTGGATGCGGAAGGTGTGTTTGGCATCTGGCAACTTGCGTCACGTGTGAGATGTCCGACTGTTTATCAAAGGACGAGTATACTGCGTTGCAGCTCTTTCTGTTCATTAGTACGCCTGTGAGACATAGTCGTTAAAAATAGAAGAAATGAAGTAGTTACAGATGTTTGATCATAGGTGTCTTCGTAGCATTCCTCGCGTTTGGTGGAGTCACCATGTGAGCAGTATTGAAGACAGACGAAGGGTATTAGGCAAGACAGTCAAGTTGATTGGTAAGGTTGTGAAGCTTTATCGACTAAAATGGTCAAAACATGTGTTACGCAGGTCTAGTCATCCTCTACCCTGTCATGCAATGTTAGGAGCAATCACACTAAAACAAGGCATCACTGCATGAAATCTTTGACTGTTGGTCTGAGCCATGTAGGGCAACGTAGACTTCTCGGTTCGGGTCCATGTGACGATGGAAATCAGTAGTTGGTAGCTCTAGGTGATATACGTCAAAATCAATCTCAGTGGCACAATTGTATTCACACATTAACCTCATCTTAACTGTCATACTGAATTCAGTATTTTACTTTTCCTCCTTGTCTTCTTACCACAATTCTCTACGACTTTTGACTACTTCCTCCACTTTTTCTTCATCTCTCATCTTAGTGTTGTCTCGCTTGATGTGCTGATACGAGATGTGGCAACTTGGGACGTCACGCAGTAATGCCTGGTCCCATTTTAATTATGATACCCTTCCCCACATAAAAGAGCTCCAGTAAGGGTTAAAGACTACTCATCACATACGCCCTTGTGAAAAAACCAACCAAATTTGTCGAAACACCAATGTTGGTACTGATATCTCAATTTGTTAGGAAAATCAATATGAAAAGCCACACACACAAGACATTACTGCCACATTCAAGCCACTGCATCACCAGAATAAGACCCTGTAGCTGGTGTCTCTTGGCCTGAGTATAACATGCTAACGATAGTGACCAGCTTACAAATTAACGAGTTGAGTGGTTTGCTTTAACTAATGAACCACCATTTACTCTTCTGCTACAAATTAAAGCACATCACTTTCTGTGGAAAGTTGAAATACATCAACCCAGTGATCTGGTAATCTTTAGTATGCCTCAGCAAATTAACACCAACAATAAAATTGTGTATCAAACATCAAAAATCGAAGATTACCTAGTGTCTAGACACACAAACTACACTGGAACTTTTTGATCCATCAAACGAGACAATTGGCTTGAACTTCAAGTAAGAGACAGTGCAAACATGAAAAGATTCAATTGACCGGAACATACCGACTCTGCAAAGCCTCAAATTTGAGGCTTTAAATGTTGATAAAGTGTCTTGATACCATTCAATTCACAGCAGAAACCGAAAACGCTCGAAAACAATCTTGCTACTACGATCAGCAAAGGCGAAAGTACGCACTTTCATATCATCTATCACTCCACAACATACTACTTACTGACTAATGACACGAGAGTGCACTTCCTAAAAACGTAACGAACTTCCTGCAGTTCGCCGAACGAGCTGGTTCTTGACGAAGTCTCGGCTTGGATGCGGAAGGTGTGTTTGGCATCTGGCAACTTGCGTCACGTGTGAGATGTCCGACTGTTTATCAAAGGACGAGTATACTGCGTTGCAGCTCTTTCTGTTCATTAGTACGCCTGTGAGACATAGTCGTTAAAAATAGAAGAAATGAAGTAGTTACAGATGTTTGATCATAGGTGTCTTCGTAGCATTCCTCGCGTTTGGTGGAGTCACCATGTGAGCAGTATTGAAGACAGACGAAGGGTATTAGGCAAGACAGTCAAGTTGATTGGTAAAGTTGTGAAGCTTTATCGACTAAAATGGTCAAAACATGTGTTACGCAGGTCTAGTCATCCTCTACCCTGTCATGCAATGTTAGGAGCAATCACACTAAAACAAGGCATCACTGCATGAAATCTTTGACTGTTGGTCTGAGCCATGTAGGGCAACGTAGACTTCTCGGTTCGGGTCCATGTGACGATGGAAATCAGTAGTTGGTAGCTCTAGGTGATATACGTCAAAATCAATCTCAGTGGCACAATTGTATTCACACATTAACCTCATCTTAACTGTCATACTGAATTCAGTATTTTACTTTTCCTCCTTGTCTTCTTACCACAATTCTCTACGACTTTTGACTACTTCCTCCACTTTTTCTTCATCTCTCATCTTAGTGTTGTCTCGCTTGATGTGCTGATACGAGATGTGGCAACTTGGGACGTCACGCAGTAATGCCTGGTCCCATTTTAATTATGATACCCTTCCCCACATAAAAAAGCTCCAGTAAGGGTTAAAGACTACTCATCACATACGCCCTTGTGAAAAAACCAACCAAATTTGTCGAAACACCAATGTTGGTACTGATATCTCAATTTGTTAGGAAAATCAATATGAAAAGCCACACACACAAGACATTACTGCCACATTCAAGCCACTGCATCACCAGAATAAGACCCTGTAGCTGGTGTCTCTTGGCCTGAGTATAACATGCTAACGATAGTGACCAGCTTACAAATTAACGAGTTGAGTGGTTTGCTTTAACTAATGAACCACCATTTACTCTTCTGCTACAAATTAAAGCACATCATTTTCTGTGGAAAGTTGAAATACATCAACCCAGTGATCTGGTAATCTTTAGTATGCCTCAGCAAATTAACACCAACAATAAAATTGTGTATCAAACATCAAAAATCGAAGATTACCTAGTGTCTAGACACACAAACTACACTGGAACTTTTTGATCCATCAAACGAGACAATTGGCTTGAACTTCAAGTAAGAGACAGTGCAAACATGAAAAGATTCAATTGACCGGAACATACCGACTCTGCAAAGCCTCAAATTTGAGGCTTTAAATGTTGATAAAGTGTCTTGATACCATTCAATTCACAGCAGAAACCGAAAACGCTCGAAAACAATCTTGCTACTACGATCAGCAAAGGCGAAAGTACGCACTTTCATATCATCTATCAGTCCACAACATACTACTTACTGACTAATGACACGAGAGTGCACTTCCTAAAAACATAAGGAACTTTGAGTGCATTGTGTTTGATACAATCAGGAAAATTACATTACTACATCTGGAATTGAAGGAAGGATCAAGTAGGAGTAAGTGGGAAACAATTAGCGGGAATATAAGAAAATTGGGGATGTGGTTCTTTGTTAGTATCGTTATTCGTTAAGATATAAGTGAAGGTTCCGGTAAATTGAGAATGGAATGAACGATTAAAGGTCCCAATCAAAGAAAAGATTTAACATACTTAAACACCCTTCTCGTCGTCGTGCCGAAAGCATCTCAAGGTCACAATCGAGCCACGCTCCTTGTTATCAAGGTGAATAAAGAGCGCGAATATTTCAAATGGTTGTTTATTGAATGAAAGCTTTCGCCTATCTGGCTTACATATCTGGAATCTGTGGATCACTGGGGTCTGTGGTTGATCTGTGTACATTTAAAAAGAGAGCAAAACGTCACGGTTAAAAACCTACCCACATCTTCAGTAAGTATCCAGCTGGACTTAAACGGGGTTCAGATGAAGCAGCTTGGATCACCTCTATAGTAAGAGCCTTCCAAGCTCTAACAGGTCTTAGAAAGTCGAAGCTGTGTTTGACGTCTAACCTGCTACTTTCTAGGTATAGTTTCTGTGTGTCCTTTAAGATTATTTCTACAACTAAGATTCAATGAGTGTTGGAGTGGTTGTTGAGGATATTGTGGGACATTGTAAAATCCTGTCTTTATCTTCTTTATTCTAGATGGCACAGATCAGACGTAACCCGTCATTCTTCATACGTTTGGGACTGAAGTCCACTAACAGGTTTGGTAGACTGCTTCCACACGCATTCTTAAACTTGTAGCGTCACACACTTCTCCGGGATCAATGGCTTAGTGTTCAACGGGATTTAACATTTATACTGGGCTACATAGTCTTACTGGAACCTCTATGCCCACCACTTGGCACACTGCCGTGTTACGTTGCACTGCTCCTAAGCGACCCTCCAGCCGGTTATTTGGAATGCATCAGTATTTTGGCACGACCTCGCCGATATACTATTTCATCCGACTACGCTGTTGTGTCACTTCTTGGCCTTATATTCGTGAGTATATAACAAGTTTGAATAACTAGTGATTGGCCTCTGTGTCTGTCAAGTTCGCGATAGGATAGTTCCTAAACTGCCGAGCCCAAAGTGATAACAAATCTTAACTTGATGAGCCCATTCCATTTTATACTTGTGTATCGTTTTCGCTTTGATACTCCTAATATATCCATATATAACTGTTTTCCGTGTCCAACCACACTCCGGAGCTTATCCATATTAAGCCGACGACGAATACTATCCAACCTGTGCGCTACTTGCCACACAATGCAGAAACATGGTTTCTATATGCCGGGGCAGATTTTCGAGAAAAAGGAGTCGCAGATTCACATTCTCGATTTCTTGCCGTCATACATTCACTGCCACGGGAGTGAAACAGGCATGTCACAGCGCATTCGTTTTGCCCTGAAGTAAGTGATCCTAATGCACTTCTCAAAGCTGCACTACCGAGGAAAAGTGATCTCACAGATCGCCAGCGCCTAGATGAACTGCTTCGTAGCATCGAGCTAAGCAGCTACTCAACCATTGAAGTCCTTGCACGCATGTGAGAAGTTATGGGCGCACGAACGTTCAATAATGGCCTTTTCCGAGAACCGTCTCCCTCGAAACTACCACAACCGGTGCAAATCGTGTTAGTGACACTTCACTCAGTTCCACTCGATGACCTGGCGGCCTGACAGGATAAATACTGGAGATCTCTAGTATAACCGTCTCCAACGTATATTCTGTCTGCGATTAATCCGGTAGCCATAATTCAGAAGTAGCCGGGTTGTACAAATCAGTTAAATAGCTACTACGAACTCGAAGCCCTGGGTTACGTGGCACATCACAGAAATGAGTCTCAGCTCACCGCAGTAACTTGTGTGGTCATGTGATAACTAAACCTAGCAGGGTGGAAAACCTTAAATAGTGCTGGTTTCACAATGCCCGCGAGGACGAAACCAGAAAACACTGGAAGCCATGCAGTTTCAACATGGGCGCAAATAGAGAAACTGCCAAGCCGGTACGCGTTCACGGCAACCGTAGTCGGCGGAAAAAGTTGTTTTTTTTTTGCGTCACCGATATAAAAACGAAAGTTTGCTACCTCGTCGTCACCAGCGCAGAAGTAAGCCTTCTCTTCGCACCCATAGAGGAGCGTCGCCATGACCCATCCTTCAATCTTCAGGCAGCTAACGACAATGCAATCGCAACACTTGGGAGACGGCATGCCTACCTCAACTTAGGTGTAGGTAAATCTACTCACCGGATTCTCCTCCTGGATGATGTTTCTATACCCATAATTGGCATGGATTTGCTGAACCATTAAGATCTACTCGTAGATGCTCGTCATCGACGGCTGATAGATAACAACATGAAGTTATCTATCGGCGGTACCACCTACGCAGGTCCGAATTTAGCCACCGTTAGAACTAAACAATCAGGCGACGCGTCCTACCAGACAGTGTTTTAGAAATATGCGGAGTTACAACAACCGAAACATACTCTTCCGTGCATAACCAGAAATGTCATGCACCACTTCATAACCACGGGTCCACCTATGGCATCTAAAACACGGCGTCTAGCCCCTGATAAGCAAAAAACTGCGGAAAGTGGATGCAATCACCTTGATCAGTTCCCCTCCTGCTCATGTAGGAGACGATGGGGGAAATATTTTCTCCTTCTCATTACCCGTAAGGCATGCTTGAATCGACCTGCATTTCATCATCAGCCCTGCTCAACCTGGCATGTAACTCCTGCAAGTCGGCAGCAAAAACCATGCAGAAATTTCGGTTCGCGCTCGCGCGGAGCACTACATCCTAGATTACAATCATAATTTTAGATCGCCTTTCCTTAATATCGGATCAAGGAGGTCATGATCTTGCTCAATAGAAGGATGTTTGCAAGTTATATCGACCTCGTCATGCGGTTCATCTCCGAAATGCTTAGCCCCCAGCTAGTTCTTGCTCAAGGTCTCCTCTAGATCTTCGGGAGTCCCAATCCAAATACGAGCAAGGCATAAACCGCCGGACGTTGGGGCTAGACAAGATTGGGTATGGTCGGTGACGGAACTCCTCCTTGACAGCAGGACAATTCACTCCCAAGAACTATGCTATTCAGTCATCATACGTGGGATTCCCGAATGTATCCGCCCTGAGGTTACTGGACTTATTCATGACGTATGACCAACTAAGGTGTTCTCAGCCTGCTTGAAACAAGTGACCGTGCACTTGTTTCTCTCGACATTTCTATGTCTAAGTCACCTGCTCCTGGTCAGCCATTGGCCAAGTATTGTGGGAAGACTGATTCTGAAAAGGTCCAGCAAAACTTAAATTGCGACTACCTGCTGGGTCTGTGTTCCAGCATGGGCGCTACTGAAGGACACGGTCCTTCAAACGACACTCCCCTGATTCCAAGCAGAACCAACAACTTGTGCCCCTACTTGCTTAGATCAAGAGTGAGTAAGCATATGCGGCGTAGGCGGCCATCACGGTATCAATGAAGAGTCGCTGGTAGCTCAGTTGACCATCATTATATAGGTAGGTTCTGATATAATCGCGGGGTGTTTAGAAAATGAAAACAGAATTTTTCGAAGTGGACTTACAAGAAACCATGTCGGTCAATTTTTGTTCATGGATAAATGTTTTTCATACTTTCCCACAATAAAAAATGGATGATATGCATTTTCACAACATATACACACACATAAGGGCACTTTGGTTATTGAATCGCTTTTGACAGCAAATGACAAAGACGGCATTGATTTATGATGACTAGTTAGAAATGATCAGTATGAACAACAAATCAGCTAACCTGTGTTTCAAACGCAGGGGTCGCTACATGTGCCATCTGACATTACGTGTTTTGATGTTTGATAAAAATCCGAATTTTATGCAGAAGAGGCCGTGGCATACGCAGCGAAACGCTCCGAAAAATCCTGTTTTGACCTTCTAAACACGCTAAGAATATACTGAAACCTACTCCCATAGTGAGTAAACGTTTCTTGAAGTTCAACTCTTTCGGGACATTCATAAGGACCATGAATGCTTATAGTTCCATTGACTGGAAAAATTACGAGGACATCCAATGCAGATATATGGTTGAAATCCGAAATGACAGAGTTAACTGCCAGGCATATGTGTGAAGAACTCTGAAGAGGAATTCCGGGGCACTGTACTCGTAGAAGGAACAGAAGGATAACATTTCGCTTAGTACGCAGGACCGCAGAGTTCCGGAGATTCTTGACACTAGCTCCCAGGTGGAAAACTTAAAGCTCAGGAATTCCAGAACAACTTCTGTCAGGTAGAAGGGATGAACATAAATCTACTGGACACCTAGATCACAAAGTGGTTTAATTTATATGGAGTCTGAACCTCCGATAAATGAGGGAATCTTAAGACGATCGAATCCCAACGTCCTCAGGAATTGATGGCATTCACCCAATAGTATTCAAAAAGTGTGCCTATTTTCTGAGTGTCACACTGAAAAATCTCTTAATATATTCGCCTCTAGAAGGTATACTTCCCTCTGGTTGGAAACGAGTTGCTGTCTTTCCTGTATATGAAGGTGGGAACAAACTAACTGTTTCTGGCTATGAGTCAATCCCACTGAAATCTTCAGTTGCGAACGTTATAAAGAGTGATGGATGAGAGAGAGGTGGAAGTGCTTTCAGTTCTTTTGTGCAGTGAAATGAATGTCACTCAAAAATTGGAAAATATCCAGAAGTTACTTTCCATTACACTTTCAGGGCCGCCGTTCACTGTTGTCTTGTAACCAACAAAGCCTATGGAGTCCTGGGGTTCATACAGTGAAATTTTGGGGGTTTAAGCTCTGCTTTTTTCTCTTTAACATGCGAACTTTATATTCATTCTTACCTCGAAAGGAACTCACTCGTGATGTCCCCGTACTTGAAGAAGGACACTGGCACCCTAGAATGGGTTCAGAGGAGAGCTACGAAGAAATAGGGCTAAGCTAAGATACGAACTTTACTTGGATCTCTCAGTCGCTCATGAGCTGCAGCCGGTACAGTACCGGAAGATCAAAGTTGATACGATCACGGTCTAATACATCACTCCGAATCCCATCCATTCTAACAGGTTTCTTTTATACTTCAACCAGAAGCTCCACCTTAGGGGTTAATTGTTGAAAGTAGGGCATGAGACCGCATACACAGATCCATGCTAACTCGACTTTAACTAAAGTGTTCCAACTCGGAACTCTTTTCT